GTTGTCCTACTAATCTAAAGGTTCGGGGTTCGATCCCTGATGAGGTATGGTTTTTTTTCAATTAATATAATATTTAAATACAATTTTCTATCGTCCACATTTCAAGACAAATATTTCTGCACCAGTTGCTGCTCACGAAGTAAATAATTTCTCACAGTGTTGCCAAATATCTGCTGATTCGAGGCGCGCTAGATTGCCTGTTAAATTCTGCCAGAAAATCGTGAAATATAAAATACAGATAAGTGGGTATAGACCAACCAAATTAAATTTTTTACTCGAATAAAGTCCTATCCGCGAGATTATTGTAAAATTGTCGTCTAAAGGAACATAATACCGTTTTCGAAAAAAATCCAAAAACTTTTGACTTTTGACCTCGAATAACTTTTTTAGCACACATGGAATCGGTCGAGACTTTTGACACTTTATTTCTAATGGAGTACCCAAGGTCTCCACCAAAATTTAGTTCTGTCGGAATTTTTGTTATTTGACCACTATTTTTAAGACTAATTTAACCGGACTAATGTAAAGAAGTCTATTTTTACGATAATAAAATATTTCCACATTCAAAAAAATCGAGTCATCGGTCACTAAAGTACTTTTTTTCATTCAGAAAATAGGAAGAATCTGTCAAACGTTTCAATTTTGTACTACTGACTTTTTGATTATTTTCTAATAAACACTTAAAATCTTGTTTCAGTTAATACGGTTTTTCTTGAAAACCATAAAGTTTTTTTAAATTTAACAAGAGTAAAAGAAAATTTAAAATTAAATACTGCTGTGAATTAATATTACTATTTTTCAATTCAGTCAATGAAAAAAAAGTTCGGTACAATTTCAGGGGTGAGTTATCCCCAATGAACACCTTGTAGAGCTTCAATTAACTTTAAATCATAGCCAAAGAAGACCAGTCTTAAACCTAAATCATGTACCAAATTTGGTTCTTCTACGGTAAAGTGTTGCAGAGATAATAATTTTTTTCGAAATTTAGCCCCCCACTTTGGGGGCTAATAACTCCTCAGGGGTGCATCTTTTTATATAGGTAAGTTTAGTTAAATTACAATATTTTGGACACCCCTACATGCATCTGCCCTTTGTCGGTTCTTATGCGGGGCACCCCTGTATATGATTTTCCGCGTTTTTTGACCAAAAACTGGCACTATCTCAATGAGGATGCATTTTTTCTAAAGAAAGTTTCATGTAAAAGTTGTTCAAAATTAAATTACTCCTATAAAAAATCTAATTTTTTTCCTTATTTTCCCGTACCAAAATTATTCGAAGCTAACGACCGTTAAATAAACACTACCCGATCCATCGATTCTATCGCATTTACAGATACGAATGCAAGATTGGCAGCAATGAGAACAGACACTTATACGAGAGAAATTTCCACTTGGCTCTAGGCGGTGTCTACTCTCTTATAATACGAGAAAACAGGGATCGTATCGAGGTGAGGATTAAATTGCCTACGGATTCAAAGCGTCCGACAGTAAATACAGATTTTTAAAAGTCTTACCATAATCAATGTTGATTAAAATAAACGTCGATTACTCTCTTCTAGTTTGTGAAGCTGTATACTATGTCTGTACCGAATACCGTGAATATTTTGTGGCAAGTACCTCAGTATTTCCTGATTTCCGTTGCTGAGATAATGTTCGGCGTGGCAGGACTTGAATTCTCTTTCACACAGGTGAGAGAAGTAATAAAAAAATAAAGTTGGTTTTTATTCCGCCTCCTTAGCAATGCAAACTAATACAGACATGATCAGATTTATTGTGGCTATTTCAGGAAGCAGACTATTTCTTTTTATGAAAATATAAATAAAGCCAAAATTCTGCTCGCTTGTTTTAGGCCCCCAGGAGCATGAAAACCGTAACCATCGCCGGGTGGTACTTATCCGTGGCAGTCGGGAACTTCTTGGTAATAATAATAACTCAGCTGAATATGTTCAAAAGTCAGGTAAGCGAAGAACAATAAACCAGCGTCGACTGATGAATAATTTAATATTATTAAGGCTGGGCGAGATGTCAGCCAGGGTGACTGCTCTAAGAGCAACATTTCCTATTACACCGTGGGCTGAGGTGAACAAAGAGATAAATAGAAATTATCTAAATCTAACGTGCTTCTACGTTTCTCTGTCTCTGCTACGTCTCTTTATGGAATGACTTTAAGATTCATTCGACTTACACTGGAAGAATGTTGCAAGTACATCTGTCAGTGAATTTATCGTGTCTGTCGCTGATTTTGTTTCTTTTAATATTTCCATGAACTGCGGTTTTTTAAGAAAAAGACAATCCCAAATGTGAAAACGAAAAGATCTCTTTGTAGTTGCTACTTTTTACGTAATCAGTCTCTGTCAAAGGTGATAATAGAACGGCAAGAATGCAGAATATCTTCTTCGAATGATTGCATCATTTGACAATTTCAATATATCCGTCATTTGTTTTTTTCTGACTGAATATTTTTACAACCGATTAAAAATACTATATAGCCCAGTTACTGTAGCTGAAAATATAGTAATACCTCCGAATTTTTTATAACTGCATCGATTTTTCTCAAAATTTAGAATTAAGCTCATCTTCAAAACATATATATGCGCTAGCTGTGCTTTTTGTTCTTAAGGGGTGAAAACCGCCCCTTATTGGAAAAAAAGGAAAAAATACAAATTTAAGCATTTTATGTAATCAAATCTTTTTTATTTAAGCGGTAAGAGTAACTTCATGTACTAGCTAATATGAAACTTAAATTTTCAACCCGGATAAATCTTTAAAAACCACCCCTTTGGATGAATATAATATAAAATAATTTTTTCAACTTGAAACGTTTTCTTGAATAAAAAATCTTTTTTATCGATAGCAACTTTTCAACCCAGACACACAAAATTAAGATTATTTTATAAATTTTTTTAAACATAATAATTATATGTAAATCATTATTGTCGTCACTGCTATTCTCTTCACAATCATGCTCGTCCTCTTTGATGATTGGAGGCGAATTTAGGCAGTTGTCGCCGGAGCATGTTCCACATGTCGAATTGCAAAATAAACCGAAATTCCGGCAGCCACAAAATTACAAAAAATCATTTTCAGCAATTCTTCCCGAGCAGGCAAACTACGCATTTTTATCGGTTCCACTAAATCTTCTTTTTTTAACCATCCCCAGTCCGTTATATTAATATGTTAATATACACATACCTGCTAAATACGTATATATACAAAAAAGATCTATATGCTTCAAAATTCTTGTTTGACCTAAATTTTCCTAAAATTATCATCTACAGGGTGTAACGTAAAGGTTGGGAATAAATTAAACAGTGGATTCTTTAGTTTAAAAAATAAATTTTTGTCATATGAAGTTATGCTTCCACCAAAATTTAGTTCTGTCGGAATTTTTGTTATTTGACCACTATTTTTAAGACTAATTTAACCGGACTAATGTAAAGAAGTCTATTTTTACGATAATAAAATATTTCCACATTCAAAAAAATCGAGTCATCGGTCACTAAAGTACTTTTTTTCATTCAGAAAATAGGAAGAATCTGTCAAACGTTTCAATTTTGTACTACTGACTTTTTGATTATTTTCTAATAAACACTTAAAATCTTGTTTCAGTTAATACGGTTTTTCTTGAAAACCATAAAGTTTTTTTAAATTTAACAAGAGTAAAAGAAAATTTAAAATTAAATACTGCTGTGAATTAATATTACTATTTTTCAATTCAGTCAATGAAAAAAAAGTTCGGTACAATTTCAGGGGTGAGTTATCCCCAATGAACACCTTGTAGAGCTTCAATTAACTTTAAATCATAGCCAAAGAAGACCAGTCTTAAACCTAAATCATGTACCAAATTTGGTTCTTCTACGGTAAAGTGTTGCAGAGATAATCATTTTTTTCGAAAATTAGCCCCCCACTTTGGGGGCTAATAACTCCTCAGGGGTGCATCTTTTTATATAGGTAAGTTTAGTTAAATTACAATATTTTGGACACCCCTACATGCATCTGCCCTTTGTCGGTTCTTATGCGGGGCACCCCTGTATATGATTTTCCGCGTTTTTTGACCAAAAACTGGCACTATCTCAATGAGGATGCATTTTTTCTAAAGAAAGTTTCATGTAAAAGTTGTTCAAAATTAAATTACTCCTATAAAAAATCTCATTTTTTCCTTATTTTCCCGTACTAAAATTATTCGAAGCTAACGACCCTTAAATAAACACTACCCGATCCATCGATTCTATCGCATTTACAGATACGAATGCAAGATTGGCAGCAATGAGAACAGACACTTATACGAGAGAAATTTCCACTTGGCTCTAGGCGGTGTCTACTCTCTTATAATACGAGAAAACAGGGATCGTATCGAGGTGAGGATTAAATTGCCTACGGATTCAAAGCGTCCGACAGTAAATACAGATTTTTAAAAGTCTTACCATAATCAATGTTGATTAAAATAAACGTCGATTACTTTCTTCTAGTTTGTGAAGCTGTACACTATGTCTGTACCGAATACCGTGAATATTTTGTGGCAAGTACCTCAGTATTTCCTGATTTCCGTTGCTGAGATAATGTTCGGCGTGGCAGGACTTGAATTCTCTTTCACACAGGTGAGAGAAGTAATAAAAAAATAAAGTTGGTTTTTATTCCGCCTCCTTAGCAATGCAAACTAATACAGACATGATCAGATTTATTGTGGCTATTTCAGGAAGCAGACTATTTCTTTTTATGAAAATATAAATAAAGCCAAAATTCTGCTCGCTTGTTTTAGGCCCCCAGGAGCATGAAAACCGTAACCATCGCCGGGTGGTACTTATCCGTGGCAGTCGGGAACTTCTTGGTAATAATAATAACTCAGCTGAATATGTTCAAAAGTCAGGTAAGCGAAGAACAATAAACCAGCGTCGACTGATGAATAATTTAATATTATTAAGGCTGGGCGAGATGTCAGCCAGGGTGACTGCTCTAAGAGCAACATTTCCTATTACACCGTGGGCTGAGGTGAACAAAGAGATAAATAGAAATTATCTAAATCTAACGTGCTTCTACGTTTCTCTGTCTCTGCTACGTCTCTTTATGGAATGACTTTAAGATTCATTCGACTTACACTGGAAGAATGTTGCAAGTACATCTGTCAGTGAATTTATCGTGTCTGTCGCTGATTTTGTTTCTTTTAATATTTCCATGAACTGCGGTTTTTTAAGAAAAAGACAATCCCAAATGTGAAAACGAAAAGATCTCTTTGTAGTTGCTACTTTTTACGTAATCAGTCTCTGTCAAAGGTGATAATAGAACGGCAAGAATGCAGAATATCTTCTTCGAATGATTGCATCATTTGACAATTTCAATATATCCGTCATTTGTTTTTTTCTGACTGAATATTTTTACAACCGATTAAAAATACTATATAGCCCAGTTACTGTAGCTGAAAATATAGTAATACCTCCGAATTTTTTATAACTGCATCGATTTTTCTCAAAATTTAGAATTAAGCTCATCTTCAAAACATATATATGCGCTAGCTGTGCTTTTTGTTCTTAAGGGGTGAAAACCGCCCCTTATTGGAAAAAAAGGAAAAAATACAAATTTAAGCATTTTATGTAATCAAATCTTTTTTATTTAAGCGGTAAGAGTAACTTCATGTACTAGCTAATATGAAACTTAAATTTTCAACCCGGATAAATCTTTAAAAACCACCCCTTTGGATGAATATAATATAAAATAATTTTTTCAACTTGAAACGTTTTCTTGAATAAAAAATCTTTTTTATCGATAGCAACTTTTCAACCCAGACACACAAAATTAAGATTATTTTATAAATTTTTTTAAACATAATAATTATATGTAAATCATTATTGTCGTCACTGCTATTCTCTTCACAATCNAGCTATGGATAAAATTTCATTCCATTATCTTCTAATGTTCGAAAGTTATTGGAGAAAAACTAAATCTTTTGAAATTTTTTAGCGCCCTGTAGCTTGAAAAAGAAAACCCGTAGAGCATAACTTCATATGAGAAAAATTTATTTTTTATACTAAAGAATCCACCGTTTAATTTATTCCCAACCTTTACGTTACACCCTGTATACACGTGTTTATTTTTTTGACGATAACTTTCTTACTTTTTAAGATTTTTAATCGCACAAAGGTTCATTTTGCAGGGAATTGTAAGGAGTACGTGAACTGTTGAGTTGATCTTTTTTAAGCCCTTAATTTTTAAGTTTGAAGGGTTTAAAGGGCTCGAAAAGGGTAGTTCTCTCATTCATATGATAACTTAAAATGGCGATATCTCGATTAATATTAATTTTAGAGGAATAAAGAAAATAATGCAAAATCTTCAGCAAAAAAAAGCTAAATTTTTTTACTCTTGTATTTTTTTCGTACACCCTTTAATTTTTAAGTTACAGCGTAAAAATTGATTTTTTTTCAAAAATTTGGAAAATTAACATTTTCAAAAATTAAGCTTTTTTTCGAAATCATGCTTTGTAAGTGAGTCAAAGACCCAGAACATATTCTTAGAACATAAATGAAGAAATCTGTAAATGGATTGCATTTAATTTTAATTGTCGCCAAAGGCACTGATTTGTTTATTAATTTTTTAAAAAATATGGGACTATCATGTTATTTCGATCATATTTCTGTTAATTTTGATTCTAAATACTTTTAAAACTGCTCATTTTAAAGGTTTTTCAAAGAATTTTAAAAAGGTTCAAATATGTAGTTTATTTCCTAATATTTATGGTTTTGGCGTTATGTAACGTTAACTGGTTCCAATTTAGTTTTTAGCTAACATATAATAATGTTTAAAAATCCATAACTCGATTTATATTGCAATTAGAGAAAAACAAAATAATGCCATTAGATTTTTTTTTATTACCTTTCGTTTTGTTCATTACAACTTTTTCGTTAAATCCAATAGTTTCAGAGTTATTTGCAAAAAACTGTCCGAAAACAAGCACTTTTTCAGTAAAAAATCAACATTTTCAATGACGAATTACTCGGAAAGTATTGAATTATCCAAAAAACTGTGTATAACATTTGTTACTTAAAATTGACTCCTCTATCGATTCCTGTGATTATTTTAGGCGTAAAAATTTCCAAAAGCAAAATCACACTACGGCACTATATAAGTTTTGTTGCTTAAGGCATTCCCAACATTCTGTCAAAATTTCACTTCAATCGGTTCAGTTATAAAGAATTCGGAGGTAAAAACCCTGAGTAACTGGATTAATTAATAGAGCTAATAATGTTTTCTAACGTTACCATGTATTTTGACTTTTAAATACTCCCACGCCTTCTCAATGCAACTTTCTACCTTCTAGGCACTAAATTCAATGAAAAAAGTGTATTTTCTTCTGTTTTTTTTCCAATACAAGTAACGCAACAACTTTTTCGTACTTTTGTTTATACTCCGTTAATAAAAACAACCACACATCGCCGTGACGGGATTCTGTTGTTTTAGGCGCACGAATTCTTTTTGTTCGCCATTCTCATCGTGGCCGATATGATGCTGTTTATGGAGATGGCGTCCAACTACAAATTCGTTCAGGTTTGCGAGGCCAGTTCCTCCTGTATACTACCAGAGGAAGACGACCTATCTATCGACCTGTATGATATCGAATATACTACCGATGGGAGCACATAACCATTGAAATAATAAATCGTTTAAAATCTGTTACGTGTTGCCATTTGTTTTCCATAAATAAATTTATTCACATCAGCCCAAAAAAAAGTCGTATCTTTAATGCAAATCAGGTGTTTGTATGAATTCTTATCCGGATTGGTTCGCGAAATGCGATAGGTACAAGCGGACAGTTTCTAAATGCCGTTAGAGCTGTTATAAGAACCGTATATTTAATGAAGATAATGATGAAAGAACGAATTAATTCCGCTGGAGTTTGTTGTTGTGTCAGTGTCCTCACTTTTTTTATTTCTAGTTCAATTAAATTAGATTTTTTCAGTTCAATAAACAAAGATTCGTAAAAATAAGGGAAAATTGGGTAGAATTGAATGATCTACTTTACCCCAGCTGAATGTTAGGGCTTCATTTTCAAAATGGCGTCCACAGTTCCCAAAAAAAATGTTTTAGACAAAAGTTGTAGAACTTTTTATAACAAAAATTTTGATAAACAAGTGTATTAGTTATTGCAAAAAAAACGGCTAAAAATCGCATTTTCTTAAAACTTCTATTTCTATCTTTTAAACGAACAAGGATTTTTTTACGAGACTCAGAATATGTAATCCTTGGCAAGTAGAATTAGTGCATTTTTGTAAAATTTTGATATGAGTTAGTTTGAGGTATGTTATAACAGTAAGTGGCAGTAATTTTTTTTTTCAACCCCCGGCTAGGGATGAAAAAAGATCAAATAAAGGGGGTTTTCCAGATAACTCAAAAGGGGCAAAGGCTAGAAAAAAAAGTTTCTTATAAAAATTGTAAAGCATACAATTCTACATAAAAATGGCCTCTTGACTTTTTCTTGTATTATTAAAATTAACAGAATTAGGGAGGCTAGAAGTTAAGGGAAGATTTCAGAAAATTAAAAAAAATCATAAGCAGAAAAATGAATGAATTTTGTATTTTTTTTTCGATCTACTCTAAAAAATGTAACCTTTCTTTTCAGAGAAATAGATATATTTTTTAATTTTTAATAAGAAAGTTATAACAATTTCAAATTTTTAATCGTTAATTTTAATGATGTAACAAAACTAAAACAATTTTTTTCTATACTATTATTGATTAT